ACCTTGGAATTCATTTTGTTGAGCTTGTTGATAGAGAGTTTCATCAACTGAGCTCGCGAAAATATTCTTGTTAGTCCAGTCTTGTAACTTACGTCCTCTTGCGGGCCGTTCTGTTCCACTCAGTTGATTTACCATTTCCATGCTGCTCTCATGCACTTTGCCTCACATCAAAACTGCTTCTTCAAGCATATAGCAGATAACCTTCTCCGAAAGGCGGACGCTCTCACTCGCAATCCTCAGACTCATCCATCCATTCTTTCAGCTGATTCAGTCACGCCCTCAACATTCCTCTTACGACAACAATCGCCGCCATTACTTTCAGACGCTTCAATTACGCAAATACTTCAACTATTCATATCGCACAATACTCTAATCATTAAGCACACTGTTTGTTAACACTTAAACTCTGAATCTAACAGATTCCCACTGAGCAATGTGAATCGTCATAATCAATCGCTGAAAGCATGTTTTTCGCACAAAATTTTTTGTTTTCACATTTATAACTATCATTGTTTTTTTTTTCACACAAATTTGTTATTAATATATTTTTCTTAATTTCTATTAACATTACTGTTATTACCATTACTTAAAATGATAATCAACGACCCAATGATCATTCAATCGAAAGCAGTTGATGAGCTAGAAACTAGAGTAGAAAGTTTTATACTCAGTTGCATAATGAATCTTTCTTAGTTATTTGGCTAATGTCAATGCGAGAATCTGTTATTCTAATAGGATTCATCATTTGGTTTTGGAGCGATACAATTTTTTGAAGTTTCATCGTCGTATTCGTTTGCTTCGCAGTTGCATCGACACAAGTCAAAGAAAAACAAAACAGAAAGAAGATTTATTCAGTCGAAATGATGAGCAATACACTCAATTCAATGAACCAACAATGAATTTGGAACAAAACAATAAAACAACAATATCACTTTTTTCGACAATAAAACAGTAACATCAGCAACACTGAATACCTGTACAACTATACGGAGTACACTTGGAAGGCATTTGAAAATGTATTCATCGTTAAAACAAAGCCATATGAAAGAATATCTCTCAGATTGAAAAATTTCAGTGATTTCCACAAAAATCTACAATTTTTATTGTTGTTTGGAGCGTTTTCGGAGGTGAATTCATGCTTCGTAAACAATCACTACTTCATACCCGGAAAGACGCAAATTTATCGTCGAAAAGTTTTCAATATTCAAAAGAAACGAAGAGTGTATCTGTCAGTTTCAAGTATTGGATAAATTGAAATTGTAATGTCATAATACTAGCGTAGGACGAAAAAACTAGAGAAAATTTAATTCAAAAATGATAACGAGAAAATGGAAAAAGGTAAAGCTAACTGGCTGACTGCACGCTCTGAGGGAACAACTCCCCTTTACTACCGATACTCATTTGTTTATTGAACATCGACGAACAAAACAATTAACAAATTCACCCCGAACCTCTCTCGAAACATTAACATTTACGTATCAAAACAAAATCAATGCTTCATATTACCAAATGTCAATAGAAAGTTAATCCGTTCAAGATACAATCGACACTTATCGTTCAGTTACAACAATGCTAGTCATTTTTCTCATTATCGTCATCATCATCATCCTCATCACCGGAACTTCCAACACCTTGCCCATAAAAATCCATATCATCAAACTTCTCATTCAAGTCATCGAAATCACTATCGTGCTCCTCATCAGAGTCCTTGGATGATGAAAAATAAAAGTATTAAATCAAGGTTCTTACAAAAAATATACGCAATGTCCCGAACTGTTTCCTTTCAAACATTTCATAATACTCATGTACAATACGACAATCTTATGCAAACGTTTTCAGCGGGAGAGGTGAAGCATCTCTGGAGTATCCCAAACATTCATTAATTAACCAATGGAATGTCGCAAATATAATAAATTTATATACTATGNAAAAAGATGAATAATACCTCAGAGTCATGCTCCTCTTCATCCGGATAATCATTGCGCCAATTATTCTCATCGTTCGAGTCATCTTCATCATCCGCATTTGCATTACTCTCTGACTCCTCATCACCACCCATATATAACTCGATATCGTTTGCATTCGCGATACGAACCTGCAGTCAAATCACAAACTATTACTACAATCTTACACCGATATTCACCTCCCCAGAAACACACAAATTTAGTCTCCAATTCAATTGAAAAAACAACAAATCATCTATTTACCTCCATTTCATCAGGATTGCACGCAACAACCGTTGGATTCCAATAAAAATCGAATACGTAGTCAGCCTAAAACCAGGAACTGATGGTCTCTCTTAATCTGACGAATACAACAACACATTTTTTAAGACACTGCGATAATAACGGAGACAGCGTATAATGAACATTTCACATAAATAACACCTCATCAATATTTCGAAGAGAATGTTAGATTTAAGTGAACCGAATGTAGAAATTATTCCTCTTTCAACAAAAAATCGGCCATTGAATTTGAAAAAAAAAGATCAAAAGCAGAATGGAAACGAATCGCGATCAACAGATCGTCTTCTCACTTACCTCAATCGGTAATTCCGACGTTTTAACACTCATCATTGGTATGCCATTAAGTGTGAACTGTAAATTTGACTGGGAATTGCGACTTTGCGCCGATGTGCCTCCTTCATCGATCGCATCACAAAATTTACTCAAATACTGTTGTTGGTCAGCAACAGTCTCAGTCAATTTATCACCACCACTATTTTCCTTATCACTTTCGTTACATTTCAACATTTCCACATCATCAACTTGCTTGCCATTGATTTGATGAGCATCGAAATCGATTATATTCGCATTCTGATGAGGAACGCCACCAATATCTTTTACTTCCTGAAACATTCGCACAATTAAAAGAAGTTTATAGATAACATCATGAAGCCGTAAGAACACGACTAGTGGGTAATACTTTTGAAGGTTTCAGAACTGACCGTAAATGCTACTAATGATATCTCTAAATCTAAAGAATAGAATGCAACCATGACTATAAGTGATT